AATTGTCGAGGCTCATCGGCGCTAATCCCATGTTTCCTCCATTGCTCTGTGTTGAATGTGCAGGTGTCCTTGTCTGCTGCTGCTGGTCGAAGTGCGACATGAAGCTGAAGAACCTTTCCATAAGGTTGGGGTCCACGCTTGAAGAGGGTGATGGAGTTACCATCTCTGGTGCTCTTCCTGATGTTTCTTGAGCAGTCCCGGTCTCTGTCTGCAGTCCTGAGGCGTGCAGTCCAGAGTTGCCGTGTTGAGTTTCTTGGCCGCTGGGTGAGCCCGTAGAGATTTTCTTGCCCTTGCTGTCCATGTCTTGTAATCAATGAAGTCGTTGAATTGAGTTGAGTTGCAGGTTGTTGATAGAGCGCAGTTGCTGGGAGTTTGGTCTCTGACTAGCTCTGATACCATGTTGGGCTGAGAAATGCCCTTAGGATCTTTTCAGAGACTAAGTCCCAGTTGAAGATTAAGACTTGAGTAGTGCAGCGGAAGTTGAGGCAGTTGAACCCTTGTACTAGTATATGAGAACAAGTGATTGATTAAAGAAACAAGCATACAGCAATATATAGAAGATAAGAAAGCAGTTGTAGAGTACAGTTACAGGAACGGTTTATCGAGTCGCACAGCGACTCGATTGCCGCTTCGGTTACCATCCGTGATGTTGTAACGGTCAGTCGCAACCTCCAGTTGCGACCTTTCGAGTCTTTTCGCATTCTTTGTCCGTCCCCTCATGTAACCTCCGTTGACTCGCGTGCTCCCCTGTAGTCTTCCTCGAGTGCAGTGTTACACTTCAGAAACGCTCAAGTCCTTTGAGATATTTCCAACACCGAGGGTATGAGAGGTGTCAAACATGTCTATTTGTTATGTTTGTATAGACTGTATAGGGTAGCCTCTTAGAGGGTACAACACTTAGCTATATTGTGTGTACTCTCCCCCTATCATCATTATTCAATTTTCTGACATGGTATCAGAGCCAAAGGTCTTGGGTTCAACTCCCAGTGCCAGCGCTGCAGAGGCGCTCGTGTCTTCCACCTATCCCAGCGGGGGGGGGGGTGTTGAGTGACCCGCTGGGGTTGCCCTTGAGATCCTCGGGGAAGGGCCACAGGTGCAGAGCCTGGGGGGCTGTGGGCGCACTTACCCGCTATTCAACAAGCCCTTTTAACCCAGTGGTTAGTGGCTGGGTTTCTGACATGGTATCACGCGTAGGTAGGATCCCCCCCCCACCTACCGCTTCCGCTCATGCCCCCTAGCGCCCCTCCTGGGCCCCGTCGCGCTCCTCCCAGGCCCCATCGCGCTCCTCCCAGGCCCCGTCGCGCCCCTCCCAGGCCCTCTAGCGCCCCTCCTGGGCCCCGTCGCGCTCCTCCCAGGCCCCGTAGCGCCCCGTCGCGCCCCTCCTGGGCCCCGTAGCGCCCCTCCTGGGCCTCGTCGCGCCCCTCCCAGGCCCCGTCGCGCTCCTCCCAGGCCCCCTAGCACCCCTCCTGGGCCCCGTCGCGCTCCTCCCAGGCCTCGTCGCGCCCCTCCTGGGCTCCGTCGCGCCCCTCCTGGGCCCTGTAACGCCCTCCCAGGCCCCGTCGCGCTCCTCCCAGGCCCCATCGCGCTCCTCCCAGGCCCCGTCGCGCCCCTCCCAGGCCCTCTAGCGCCCCTCCTGGGCCCCGTCGCGCTCCTCCCAGGCCCCGTAGCGCCCCGTCGCGCCCCTCCTGGGCCCCGTAGCGCCCCCTCCTGGGCCTCGTCGCGCCCCTCCTGGGTTTCGTAGCGCCCCTCCTGGGCCCTGTAACACCCCCCCCCTGTTCCTGGTCACCCCTTCCCCGGTAGTCCCTGCCCCTCCTCCTCCTCCTTCCCGTCCCGCCCCCTCTGGTGTCTCCCATGTCACCCTTCTTCCGTCCGTGGACCCGGTTGAGGAGTCTTCTGACTCTGGTGGCCCTCCGGTGCAGTCCTCGCCGGCCGCCCCTCCCCAGGTGTCCCCTCCCCAGTCCCCTCCTCCGCCGTCCCTGCCGCCACTGCAGCCGTCGCCGTCGCCGCCGCCGCCGCAGTCGCAGCCCCCGTTCGCTGACTCTGGGGGTGCTCCCTCTGGGGGTGCGGGTGTGGAGCGTGCCGGTGGTAGCCGAGGAGCAGCTTGCGGTCCAGGTGTCGCCGTTGTGCCGCCGCAGCAGCAGTCCCCGCCGGTGTCCGCCCTTCGCCTGCTCGGCCTTCCGTCCCCCGACCCTGCGTCGGTTCCTCCCCGACCGTCTCCTCCTCTTCCTGTCTACGGCCCTGTTTTCCCTCCGCCGGACTCGTCCCCGGCCCGTCTCCCCCCTCGTTCACCTCCTGTGTCCCCTCCCCTGTCTCCTGACCCGACTCCTCCATCGCACGTCTCGTCTCACCGTCCCTCCCGTGCTCGTCCTGCCTCGCCTGTCCTGCGCTCCCACCCTATGTTGCTTCGTTCACACGCGTCTCGTCCTCCCCTTCTGCCGTCGCCTCCTCCGTCCTCCCTTGTTGTTGCGCCCCCCCCCGCTGTCCGACTACCTTCGTGCCGCTCGTCCCCTCGTTCCTCGGGTCCTTGCCTCTCTCGTTACCGACCCGTCTGTTCCAGTCTCATGCCTTGACACTCTTGTCGCTGCTGTGGCTGACTTCGCCTCTACCCGCCGCCTTGACTACGCCACCGCTCTGGTCTCTGACCCTGCCTGTCCTCCGTCTGTCGGGGGTGCTCCTGCCCTTGGCAGTGACGTCCTGGAGGACCGCCAGTTCGAGCTTGCTTTCCTGTCTGAGGCTGCTCCCCATCTCTGTTCCATGCTGCTAGTCCCTGAGGGTGACCCAGACGCTTTTGACATCCCGACCCCTCGCACTTACGCTGAGGCGACTTCGGGACCCTGGGCCTCGCAGTGGATAGCTGCCATGGAGCAGGAGATGGCATCTTGGAGATCCACCGGCACCTTCGTCGACGCAGTTCCCCCACCTGGGGTGAACGTAGTCGATGGCCGCTGGCTCTTCAAGGTGAAGCGCCCTCCTGGAGAGCCGCCTGTCTTCAAGGCGCGCTATGTGGCTAGAGGCTTCAGTCAGCGCGAGGGGGTGGACTTCTTCCAGACTTTCGCTCCGACCCCGAAGATGACTACTCTTCGGGTTCTGTTACACCTAGCTGCTCAGCGTGACTACGAGCTTCACTCTCTCGACTTCTCCACTGCCTTCCTTAAGGGCAGCCTACACGAGCAGGTCTACCTGCGCCGCCCTCCGGGCTTTACTGGCACCTTCCCTCTTGGGACCCAGTGGCTCCTGCGGCGTCCCGTCTACGGCCTGCGCCAGGCTCCCCGTGAGTGGCACGACACTCTGCGTGCTACGCTTGCTGACCTGCAGTTCTTTCCGTCTTCTGCAGACCCTTCACTCTTCGTTCGTGCTGGCCAGACTCCGTTCTACATCCTCGTCTACGTCGACGACCTGGTCTTTGCCACAGCAGACAGGGACGCGCTGGCCTCCGTGAAGGCAGAGCTGCTGAAGAGACACACCTGCACTGACCTTGGAGAACTGCGCCGTTACCTTGGCTTGCAGATCTCCAGGGACAGAGCTGCGCGCACCATCACCTTGACTCAGTCACACTTGGTGCACCAGGTCCTTCAGAGGTTCAGCCTTCAGTTCTCCTCTGCACAGCCCACCCCTCTGCCTGTAGACCACAGGCTCTCCTCTCCAGTGCCTGAGGAGTTGGTAGAGCCGAGCGGCCCCTACGCAGAGCTGGTGGGTTGCCTCATGTACCTGATGACTTGCACTCGCCCAGATCTCGCATACCCTCTCAGCATCCTGGCTCGCTTTGTGGCCAGAGGCAGACACCGACCGCAGCACTGGTCTGTCGCTAAGAGGGTTCTGCGTTATCTTGCTAGTACATCGGGCATGGGGTTAGTGCTAGGAGGACGCAGGCCAGCGGTCCTTACTGGGCACACAGATGCTTCGTGGGCAGACGACGCTGAGACACTCCGGTCTACCCAGGGCTACTGCTTCAGCCTTGGCTCAGGTGCCGTCTCGTGGAGAGCTACTCGCTCCTCGTCTGTTGCACAGTCCAGCTGTGAGGCTGAGATCTACGCCGGTGCCATGGCGGCACAGGAGCTCCGCTAGCTGACCTTCTTGCTCACTGACTTAGGTGAGCGACCTAGCTCTGCCCCGGTCCTGTTCGCTGACAACAGGGCCATGATCCTCCTGTGTCAGGAGCCTCGACTCGAGGGCAGAGCGAAGCACATTCAGCTGCGGTACTTCCTCCTGCGTGAGCTACAGCAGCGACGTCAGGCTCGCGTAGTACACTTGGCCTCAGGTGCCAACACGGCTGATATCTTTACGAAGGCGCTTGCGCCTAAAGATCATCAGCGGCACTGTGTACAGCTTGGTCTAGTTCCTGTAGCCTCTCACTTGCTAGGACCTTGACTTTGTACTGTCCTTTATATGTATACTCAGACTGGACTTGTGTCCTCTCCCAGTGGCTGGACTAGTAGTGCCGCCCTGCTCTTTGCTTGCCTTGTCTGTACTCCTTCTGACTGGTCGCTCAGACCCTTGTCTCAGAGGTTGGACTAGTAGTGCCGCCCTGAGCTGTTTGTTTAGGACTTTCCCCTATGCAGTCTAGGGGGTGTGTCAAACATGTCTATTTGTTATGTTTGTATAGACTGTATAGGGTAGCCTCTTAGAGGGTACAACACTTAGCTATATTGTGTGTACTCTCCCCCTATCACCATTATTCAATTTTCTGATAAGAGGAGTGTGACTGGTCGAGGACTTCGAGATTTTTTTCTTGGGGGTGTGTGTGATTGGATGCGGTAATCACGGGGGGACGCAAATCTCGCTGTACTCGGTTTCAGATTTCCCCCCAGACACATCGCTGAAACCTCAGCCTACACTCCAACAAAAACGCTGAAATCAGCAGACATCACTATAAATAAAAGGCTGAATTTGTCAGCCTTACCTATCTCAAAAAGTCTTACAGTTCAGAATGTTCAAGAAAAAAGGCTGAAAAAAGGCTGAATCAGCGTAAAATGGCTGATATCTAGGGGCCTGGCTGACAGGGCTATGGGGTTACCTCTTTTTCAAATCTTCAAATTTTTTAACTGCCGCCAACCTAAATTTTTACTCTGGCTTTAAAAATCAATGCAACCGGGAACATCCAACATAAATCAACTATACGCCAACACGCTAAACATGGAGAAAGCGCTCTCCATGTACCATGTACAGCAACACTAGTTCACCTGTAGTACCCTAAAATCGTCTGGAGATGCCTTAACTGGACGCAGCGCAGAGCCAGCTCCAGAAAAAAAAACTGACGGATAGCTCCAGGTCGCGACGGGCTACTATCGCGGATAACGAGCGTAGGAGCTCAAGACTGCCTGCTGACGAGCACAAAGAGTGCTGGCAAGCGGGAGGATCATGGAGGGCGAGTGAGAATACTCCCTACGGCTCCTGGCCACTCAGCTGGATGGTGGACGAAGACGAGAAGACCGAGAAGGAGGCAGAGGAGGACGCAGAGGGGGAGCGCGAGACGATCGAGGAAGGCACGGACGGGACGCTGAAACGGCTGCTGCCGCCGCAGCTACCAGCACCGCCACTGGTACTGACCCCGCTGCTGATCAGGCTGCCACTGAAGCCGAAACCACTGCTGGGTTCGCAGGAGGCAAGATTGACGACGCGGGAAATAATCCCGTTATGGCTGATGGGTTGCTCATGAAAGTTGAGGTTTTTACGGCGGGAAGAGATCAAGCCGGGAGATGCGGTAGTATGATACGGTGCGGGAAGCTGGGGGAACGGTTGGGAATGGTAAGCCGCGGTGGCGTTGATGTAGGGTTCGGGGGAGCGATCAGGTGGGTTGCTCGTGGCAGGACGAATGGGTTCCCATTCGCGACATGACTCGCGAAAGTTCAATTCCGAATGAAGGGCAGGGACCTTTCGCACAACCCGGCGGGTGTCGCATACGCGTTCGTCAATGTTGTAACACCCAGCGAAGTCTGGGAATGTCGCAGCACCACCAGACGAATCTGCCAGCATGTTGGGGTTGCACTCAGGAGCCTGGCAGGCGATGTTACCACAGACCGGAACATTTCGCCCAAGCTCAACGTACGATCCCGGCTGCTCCTCCTCGCAAGCGTGCATGCGGGATCCTGTCAGCGCTGCCCGCACCATCGACGCGCTCACTTGCGCTGGCTGCGATTGCGATTCCTCGTGCGTCGTCGCGAGGCCTGTAAATGGATCTCGGCCCGTGAACAGATCCCCCGAGGGGATCTGGCGGGCACCAGTAGTTCGCGAGGCGTGCCGCTGTAGCGAGCCCGGGTCCAGCGACACTCGCCGCGCCGGGGGCCGCTCTTCGCGCAACCAAGCGACATCGTTCGCGACGTCGCCGAACTCTTCCGCAGTTCGCAAATACGTCGCGCTTTCGCGTCGTAGATGAGGGGTTACCCCTTCTCTGGTCACCCCCGGGGAAAACGGTCCGTTTCCTCTGCTGGCAGCGGCCGCTACACCTGGCGTGAGATCCGGCGTGAGATAGTACGTGCTGCCGGGATGAAGCGCCTTCTGCGGCGCGAGGCGCGGGCGAGAGGACGTGAGGCTTCCGACGTGGTAACCCGGATACGCCGCGAGGATATCCGCGACGGTCTTCCCTTCGCCGAACATCTCCATGCTGCCGTCGGGAAGCAGCAAGCACACGAGCTTGTCGCTGGTGCCGCGAAGCACGTCCAGGTGCATCCCCCAGAGGCCCTTGCTCGCATGACCCTTGCTGGACTTAGTCATTTGAAACGAGTGAAAGGAGGAGATTCTGTTATGAAAGAAAGGAAACGGACTGAACGAAGCTGGAAGAAGCTCCGAGAGTTTCACTGGTGAGTGGCTTCAAGTTAAACCACGCAAGCAGACGCGCAAAAAAGCTTCGTGTATGAAGCTTGAAGCAAGCTCGTATGAACCTTGAAGCAGGCTCGTATGAACTGCGTAGGTGTCAAGTTAAGCGGAGCTGGAGTTTAAAGTCGTCCTAGGGCACAGATGCGACCAAGAGAGTGGCTGGAACGTGGTTTGTGTCACTGTAGTGGCTGCGTTGGTGTGAAGGGGACGGAGCTCAGAGATGGAGCTCGCCGGACTCAATGGCCTGAAGACGGACCTCGGAGGTCAGAAACCCTAAGGGCTACTAGCTTAGTAAGCTTCTCAAGACGTTGCTCGTATGTTCCGCGCTGGAGGTATACCTCCGCAGTCTTTGAGAAGGTGTCTTGTCAATGGGTCTTTGTCGTCAAGAAGAGAAAGTTCAAGACTACTTTGTTCCGGGGGCTAGAAGTGGCGTCTTATGCACGTGACATGGTCCAAGCTTCCCGCTCGCCTCGTCTCGACGTGGAGTGTTAGAGGAAGCGGCAGGAAAAGTGATCGTTCTAACGACCACGCAGAGCGGCGCGCGGCGGGCCGACCTACTGCCTCAAAACGCTGCGAAACTCTCTGACGAAAATACGACGCAACTAGACCGGGTTTCGAGGTTGTCAAACACCTTGACCTAAAAACGCCAGGCTGTATCTTAAGTCGTGGCTCTGTCTGCAACGAAAACGACCCCGTGCTTGAACAACCTTTACGGCGCGCCGCGTAGAAAATGCTGCTCCGACTGCTCGTCGCCCTAACAGCAGGAAAGTGCATTATCACTGTAGCACCCATACTTTTCCACGAAAGTCCTCACACTCGTCATGCTTTCGTCTACACTTGACTCGGTGCAGTTCCGCTTCCGCGACCATAACCCGAAAAGGTGGCTGATGGGGGTGTCTGTCAGCCCTGTCAGGCCGGAGCGAACAGGCCGAGATTCCGACTTGGTGGGTCTCGGCCGTCCGACGGCCGGAAAACGGGGCAGAAATGAAGCGTCAAGACTCACGTCACCTCTGTGTCTGCTTCTCCGCGACTGAGTTTCGTCATTGTCAGTTCAACAACTAGCTCTAGCTGGGTGTGGTGTGGTCTTTTCGGTGGTGCACGAATTGCTGCCAGGAGCAGTTGACAAAGGAGCTTGAAGCAGGTTGCCTCGAGCCGAACCGCCAAAAAAAATCAATTTGCGAACAATGCTACCCTGTACAGTGCATTGCACATGAGGGACGATTCTGCAGCGAATGTTAGACCCGAGGGTTTAGTGGGTTCGCCTCGGGTCTTGCGAGAAACTGACGGCTTCAGCGAGTCAGCTGTCAAGCCGAACAACTAACAAAATCGCGCAAATGACCGTCTGCCAATCATAAATTTGTAAATTTCTGGTGGACTCGAAAAGTTCGGCCAGTGTAGTCGCAACCCTCCCCTTGCGACAGTTCGCGACTTTGAAGCCGCTGCACCGTCAAGAAAATTAAACCCGCAGTTAGGTTGTGACAGCCCGCGGCTCCTTCGCCGCGGGTCGACCTCGGGTCTGATACTCGCTTCGGAATATCCTGACAGGAGATTTTGTCTTTCAAAACCATTAACAGTGTTCAAAACCGAAAATGGGCAAGGAGCGCCTCAAAGAGTTCATCATACTCTCGATTCGGAGGGTGCTTTCGCATTCTAGTACGTTCTTAGTAAAATTTCCGCACGGTTGAGTGAGCTGCTAAGCTCACCACACAGGCTGGTGGCGGCTGACCTGACCACTACAGTATCCAACTTCTGCCACACTTCTGTCACAGGTTTGGCGGGATAATCCCCAAAGTGGGGATCAAAAGGTCGGGCGGGAGAGAGGCGAGGAGTATGGCACAGGGGAAACATGGCCTGGAAAGGTTCGTGTCGGCGCTGTCAAGGCGCATTTCCCCAAAACTTTAGGAGCTGGCACCAATAAGGAGCCGGCAGTGAATCAGCTAGACGTTGGCAACTAAAACCAACGCTCAAAAATCAAGGACGTGAGGGAAGTCTGGCCGCCATGACCGTACCGTATGCGACTCAACGGAGGAAGCGGGCCAGCTGGCAAAGCTGTCACCGACATTCTGACCATCTAGAAAACGTGTGTGACCTATTGGCAGACCCGAAGTAGACAAGTACAAGTCATATGCCTTGTAGGCGACTTCCTTTTACGCCCAGGAGTACCCCATAGGCATTTTATCCTTAAGGGCCTTACTTTGTACGCAAAGTGTACCCGTCTCAACTGAACAGTGAGTTCGACAGTCAATTCGGCTGATATTTGGCAGTCCAATCAGTTAGTTTTTGTGTTTCCAGGGCGACCTCTCGTACTGGTTGGCGAGCCTTTAAACATCCAGACGTGTCAGGCTCGCCAACCAATGTCGAGACCAAAATCCAAATAATGCTATTGATACGACCGCCTCGGTGACGGACCAGTAGAACAACGCCAGTATCGCCAACAGAATCCGTCTGCGTAGCCCTGGGCAATTCCGTCATCCATCTGCCAACAGGAAATCGCCAAGTAAGCAACATAGGGGTCCCAACATCGTTCCCCCCGCCAACAATGCAGACACCAGGGGGTTATTTGTATGGCCCAATCTTCGACCTTTTCACGACACAAAGAACGAGCCCGTCAGACCCACGAGGTCGTCTGCATGGCACCTGTACGCCGAACTGTGCTGTCCGTCGGGCAAAAGCTTGCAATCTGCCAGTACGCGAAGAAGAACCCGACTTTACGTCTCGAAGACATTGGGCGATGGTGCCACACCAGATACGGCCTGTGGTCTGATCGCAGCACAGTCGGCCGAGTTCTCCAGAGAGAAGTGAAGTGGCGGGCCATCGGGCCCGAACGCGCCAAGTTCAAAAGGTTGCGAAACCCACACTGGCCTTCACTCGAAGCTCGACTTAGGAGCTGGCTGAAAAGCACAAACGGTGCTGGCTTGCCAGTGTCGACCGCTCTAATCCAGCAGCGCACGATTCTGCTAGCACCCGAGTGCAACGTCCCAAGCGACTTCAAAACTTCTGTTGGATGGGTTCATAAAGCATTGCGCCGAATGGGATTCAAGTGGCGTAAGATGAGCGGCGAGGCGAAGTCTGCCGACGAGGGCGCCGCGCTGACCGCGCAACTGCATTTCCCTAGGTTGTGTGGCCAGCTTGGCCTCACCCCAGAGAACCTCTTCAACTTCGACGAGACCTGCGTGTACTACAGTCTCCTACCCGACCACACTTTCTGCATCGATCCTACCCCGGGGAAGAAGGTTTGCAAGGATCGACTTACAGTCGCGCTGCGGGTAAACGCGGACGGCTCGAAGCTGTTCTAGCCGCTAATCATTCACAAATTTGAACGTCCCCGTTGTTTCGCAAAACAGAAGTTTGACCCTTCGAAGTACTGCTACTGGCGCGCGAACACCTCGTGATGGATGACTGCAGAGGTGAGTGCGTCGTGTTTAATGTTTACCTTGTAATGAGACGTGTTCTGTCCGATGCGAAATGAGTCGCGCGAAAGTAAACTTATATAACTTTCAAGAAATTCATCACATATGCCCCGCGCAGGTCTTTACGACGTTTTTCGAACATATCAACGCGTGCTGCCTGGCGGAAGGAAGACGCATCGTCGTCATGCTGGATAACGCGTCGAGTCACCTGCTCCAGACCCCACTCGCCACGTCAGCTGACATCTGCGGCTTCCGGACACGGGCGCTGTCGCACGTGCACCTCGTTTACTTGCCGCCGAACACGACACCGTTCACGCAGCCTCTGGATCAGGGCCTCATCGCAGCTCTGAAGGCACGTTACAAAGTCGAGTTGCTTCAAGCTGTTCTCGCACAGTGGCAGATACCTGGCGTGACCGTCGCCGCCGTTCAGAAGTGGAAGCCGGAAATGTGGCAGGTGGTTACCTGGGTGTCGGAAGCGTGCCTCGGGCTGGATACCGCGACCATCTAGAAGTGTTTCTGGAGGACACGAATGCTGCCAGCCAGCTGGCAGCTGCTGCTACCTCTCCTCGGTGCCACATCTGAAGAGCAGGAGCCCCGGCTAGAGGACGACATCGAGCCGGTGCAGCAGCTCATGAGCGCCCTGCCGTTCGGGCCGAGCGACATGATTTCAGCCGATCGCTTCGTCATCGCCGAGCGTAACGACGAGACGAGCGAGCCGACCGGGGTGGATCCACTTCAGGTCGAGCCGCTTGGCCCGGCCAACCCTGGGCGAATGCGCCTCCCTCCCCGTTTGCTCAAGACTCAGCGCGGAACCGTCGCAATCTGTCGCGCATGGCGACAGAGATGCTGATTGGCTACGCAAAGTCTATTGGATTGGCGCCTCGCGATCTACGCGTCTTGTTTGACATCCGCGAACCTTCGGTTATTCATCGCCTGGAGCGCGCATCCCCCCGCCTGGACACGAACGCTGCGCCCGGCGCGGCGGAGGAAGGGTACCTCAGTCATGTTTGCGGAGCCACAACCGTCATGACCGGATACCCTGACGCTGGCGAGTGGATGACTTTTGGCGCGCATGCGTGGTAGTAGGCGGTTAAGTTCAGTGCATTTATAGGCGGCTAAATTTAGAGTTCGGGTATGGCGCGTGCGTGTGGAGGAGCGAGAGGCATTGTGCTCTCCGTATGACGTTAGGGGTGAGACGCTTGTGCTGTGTTGCACTGAATTGGGTAGTTTTCGTCTTCGTAAGTCTGGTTTTCGGTTTGAGTCTTATTTCGCGGCATGGACTTATGTCGAGAGTTGTCTTTGTCGAGGCAAATCTGTTTGTTGCCTAATAACACAGCATGATTGTCACATGACGCATGAGTTCGGACATTCTGTTGTAACGCAGAGTTGATACACTCGCGCAAAGGCTTGCGACACTGTGACGTTTACTCAATCGCTGCATATGCCAGACAAGCCGCCCATGCACAGTACACAAAAAACAACGCCCCATTTCCTGGGAAAACCTGATAGTCCACGTTGCCCCTACCGTACAGCCCGTATTCGTTGTAAGCGAAATCTCTTGCGTCGCCCCCTGGGCTCTCAGGGCATATGACCTGTACTGAGATGGGAACATGTCTCCAACTTCTCCCTCCTAGATCCACCTTAGAAGGGGGATTTGTGGCTATTGATGTGAATGCTTTTCTTGGTCTCTAAGCACGTTCAAGTCATTTTGATATCTTTCAATCACCTGAAAGTGCCTATACTCGGTGAATGTTCACTCTTTTGGTAAGGAAAATCCTTGTTCCTTAGCGAGCCTTGCTAACATCGAGTTCAGCCCTGACGTTCAGAATATCAGAATGAATAATGACTAGAATGGGGAGATACAAGGCAATATAGATTGGTGAGCTGTACCCACTAAGGCACAAACATATATAGTCTACAGTAACTGCATAAGTTATGTTTGACACGCCCCCTAGACTATATAGGGGCAGTGCCTAACAAGG